GGCCCTCAGGAAGGTTCCAACTTAGTACGCAAGAGACTTTCTTTAAAATGAAATTGCCACTATTCAAAATTCTGGAAAGTTTACATAAATACCCACATACTATGCTTCCCTTAAAACACGGGGAGTTTTGGCAACACTGGGTCCACTCCCCTGCACAGAAATAAGCAGCTTGGCCTGAGCAGTAGCTGTGTGCTTGCAGACCAGCACAAACCAACTGCATGCAGAAGTCATTTTCATCACCCCCGGGCATTGTGTTTGCAGCGTTTCCCACAGATGCTGAGTGGGAATGCCAAAATGTCACCGGATCTTGCTTTTCAGTCGTCTGAAAGCTACACTGCAACTATTTCTTTCTCTGTTCATCAGTGTGGTGTCGTTGAGAACCTACAATGCTGTATCAGACAATCACAGCATTGTTTATGCACTGCAAATGGCTTCACCCAATACTTTTCTTACAGCTAATTATGAATTATAGCCAGATTCTGTCTGTACTGCCTCCTTATAGCTTATTCTTTTCTGACAGGAACCCACCTATGTGGGCTGCCACGACCTTGTCAGAGAAAGGGCTTTACAAATATGCACTTTTCCTTCCTGCCCTCTCGCCTCCTGCTTTGCCCCCAAGCTCCCGCTGAGGCCACGCAGATCTGCAGGAATGCCCTGGCTGCCTGCCCTGGCACTGGGCTCCTCGGGGCGGGGAAGCAGGCAGGCTGGGTGGGTGCAGGGCTCTGGAGTCTGGAATGCACTTCCTCATAGAGGTGCCAAGGCCTAATCTTGGAGGATTCTAAACACAATGGCTTTTTAGCTTCCAGGGCATTTATTATTTGCGACTGAGGGGGGAAGAGGGGGAAAGTGTTTAAAATTTCCAGACAACTGAGATGCAGGTTAAGAGGAGTAGTCACCGGTAGTCACTGAGTTTGTCTCAATTACTTTAACTTAAATAAAAGAATGTCTTCTATAGTAACCAATCACGCACTATCAATTAATATTACAAACTAACAAAAAACGAAAGCCTCCTATCACAATTAGCTTTTTTTATTATTATACATAAATGTTAAATGAGGTGAGAATCTATGCCATTAACTCCTAAAACTGTAGTTCTAAAATTCTGTTTTAGGGAGAATATCAGCAGTATTTAATCTATGAAAATTAATAGCTGGCCTGTTGAGAGTAAAAAAAGAAAATCTATCTTCTATTTAAACCGTAACCACAGGCACGCCTGGCTGGCTCAGTCAGCAGAGCATCTGGCTCTTCATCTCAGGATCTTGAGTTCAAGCCCCACGTTGAGTGTAGAGATCACTTAAATAAATAAAACTTCTAAGTAAATAAATAAACCATAACTCCTTTTTGCCAAATACAGTACAATCTAATCAACTTCTTTGTCTCAAAATCAGCTTTCTGCCATTTTAATGGTCAAAATTTGTAAATGAAAATTTAAGTAACTGTGGCAGTGTAATTTAGTAAAGTGATATTTCTGTTCCCCTTTGGTCAGTAAAAACTAATTTTAAGAAAGACTAGAGCTATTATTCCTTTCCTGCCCAGCCATCCATGAATGGGCCTCAGGAATAGGGAGCTTCTGAGGGAGGCCGCTGATCTGAGCAAGCTGGGGGTGTGGGAGGAACAAGTGACGGCTGAAGAAACTGCCTGTCATGGTGGGGAAGGAGACAGGTCAGAGGGTCACAGCGACCTACTGACCTGCAGGCCATTCTCTGAGGCACCCCTCCTTTCCCCCAGGCAGCAGAAACTTCATGGAGGACTGCCAGTGAGGTCTCTGCACAGGCTTGACCCTAAGCACAGCGGGCTCTCAGGCGCACCAAAGACCCCTCTCTCTCATACACATCCCATACATATCCCAGCCCAGCTTCTCACATCTTCCCATCATCCTGGGGTCCGGCAGGGTGAGACAAGGAACACAGCAGTGACTAATGTGGGTGAAGACAAGAGGAACCTCTTCAAATATTCTCCTCCAAGTCTGACCCCACCATGACCTGAGAAGTAGGGCATGGCTGAGACTGGGTTACCACCAGCTGGGTTCAACTGAGGCTCACAGTGGAGTACATTTGAATTAGAAGAAAGGAAAATGGAAGATTTGAGAAAGCAAAACAACATGAATCCCCGCCTCCGCCACATTCTCCCTATGTGTGTGACAGCAACTGTGACCTCTCATCATAGGCATTTGCGAAGTGGTCCTTCTCCATCCAGGACAGTCACACCGTCAAAGGGAGGGTCCATCTCTGGATCCCAGAACACATCGCAGTTTTGTGGAATAGAGGCTTGAAAAGTCAGACTAAAAGTAATTCAAAATCAAAGTGAAATGTGTAAACAGCAAAGTCTGACTTAGTTTCTAAGCAGAGCGCTGTTTAATCCTTTTTATATTGAAAATGATGGAAATGTACCATTGTTTAAAATACATGTAATGAATTAGCATGAATGTTTAAAGCTCTCACTCCAGGGAGATTCACTTTAGTTATATTCAAAATTTCAAACAGCTTAAACATCTAAGAACTAAAGATTAGTTGAACAAATTCTATGTGTATACATCTGTGTAAAAGAAAATTATATAGATGCTAAAACGGTGCTAAGAACATTTTGAAACTTGTTAAAACATATCTGTGGCATATTGTTAAATAATAGCATATTGTAAAATATTACTATATTGCTTTTGCAGAAGGTTTATAGAAAGCTATAAGTGTTAACTACTACGAGAATGGAAATGAATACGAAAGATTTTTTTTTCTTTTGGGAGGAAAGGTTCTAAGTTTCTTAACTTTCCTAAAACAAAATGTGTGTGTATGGATGTATGTGTGTATTTTTAAGCAGCCTCTACACCCAACATGGGGCTTGAACTCAGGACCCTGAGATCAAAAGTCACATGCTCTACCAGTTGAGCCAGGCAGGCATTTATAGTAATAAATGCATAACCTGCTACATTTTATAAAGATCTCCCAGATGCTGAGAGGCTCTCCTTGAAAAGCCTGGATGGTACATTAGCCATAACGTTTATCCCCTACCAAACAGAGAGTGTGTTTTAATACAATACAAGATGAGTGGGACAGTGTGAAAGTTCAAAATCATCCCCTGGGGTTGTTCTCTGCATAAGCCAAGAGAAAAAGTAGAAAAAAAAAAACAAAAAACCTTTGTCCCTAAATTAATCAGCTGTACTATTTGGGCTTCGAAGGAGAGCCACACACCCACACATACAGAAAACGTGTCACAGAGGCAATTATCTTTATAAAAGAATATGAGAAGAAAAGGAGCAAGGGAGCAGGTTTGTATACATAGCATGTGTGATTCCGACGTCTTGAGTAGAATGCAATGGTGATTTGAAGCAAGGTGTGCTTTTGATAGTCTCAGTTGGTCTCACTAATTTCATGAGACACTGCAATTCAGAAACAGCATAGGATTTGAAAGTTTGCTCATTAATTATACCACACTGTATTTGACCCAAATGGAATTTCAGACTGATCAAATACAAAGATAAATACAAATTATTAAGATAAAAATATTAAATATTATGGCTAGAATTTTTATCCTAAGTTACTTATTTATTATATAATCTTGGACAAATTTTCCTTTTTAAATCTTAGTTTCCTCATCAGCCAAACAGGGATAATGATAATACTTAATGCGGCAAAGTAACCTACTGCAAAGCTAACTCATGTCTTTATTTCACCACTGCAGAACCAACAGAAAGAATTTAATTTCCTTCGGGCTCAGTGATGGGGGAAACCTACATTCAGATTTAATTGGAGCTCACAACAGTAAGTCAGTGACATTCTCACACTAGAAGCAATAGAGCAGAATGCTTTCCTCAGAGGCTTGGCATAAGGATTAAACGAAACAATGGATGTCATAATGCTATGTCAATTGTCATGCAATGTTCAGAGAGGAATTACTGTTGTTAAAAATCCCCCTCACTTGCCACAATATGGTAAAAACAAAAACCAGGAGACTCTTATTCCAGTCCCACACTTCTCTAGCTGCTGGAACCATATCTTCCTCATCTGTAAAATGGGAGCTTACTCTCTCCCTTGCCCTACCTCACAGGGCTATGGTGAGACTCAAGTGAATCAGTATATGAGAGAAGTCCATGGAGCATGTTAGGCAAGGTGGACCTATAAGTAAGACATAAACCAAACTCAGCAATGTCAATTTTCAGTAAATTCTGTGAGTTCTGAGCATTGAGCATGGATTAAAACTGATCAGGTGGTTTTATTACAGAAGTAATTTTCATTTAAAACAAAAATCTGAATAACCTAGCTGTCATCAATAGAATGGATAAAGAATTTGTCATAACAACTCACAGCAGGAAAAATGCACTCTAGTATACATGACATACAGCATTAATAGAGAGAAGCAAGACACAATATATATCATAATCATTTATATAAATCATGTTAAACATTGGTAAAATAAACTGTTTGGGGAAGGCTTCACAGTATTAAAATTCTAACAAAAATTAAGGAATTTACTCTGGTTGGGAAGGGAGATGGTGAAGATATAAATAATCAGGCCAACAGGAGGGACTTTGGGACTATAGGCTATGTTAAATTTTGTGTGTGTATGTGCAAGTGTACATATATATTCATGTATGTATGTACATTGTACACACTTGTCTATACATATATTTCACACACAAAAAAACAACAATAACAAAAACCCAACTGAATTCTGTATAGATTAAGTTATATCAATACTGTCCCTTTTTTTTTTTTTTTTAAAGAACTTTTGCTAAGAGTTTCAGTTCCAATCTCAGATACATCAAACTAACAAATTACTCAACTGGGATTTTATTTAATCTCTTCAAAAAGAAAATACAATCATTAAGCAGGTTATGGTGATGCAAGTTGCTTACTTATTTGTAATTTCGAATTGCTTGGACATTTTCAGGGCCAAATTAAAAATCCTACTTAAGAATAAAAGAAACTACATTGCTATAGTCACCACCTGAGCATACCTTACAACACCACCCTAAAAGGAAATGCAAAGTTACATCAGTGACTCACCAGCTGGCTGTGTTTGTGCTATTCTCTTTGGGTAAGTCTTGCTTCGACTTCTTGCCACATTCTGATCTGGCCGAGGAAGTTGAATAGAAAGATCTCGACTCATTTGCAATGCTGTCCGGCCACTTGGAAATGCAACATTTCAGTTAATACAGATAAAACCACACAGCCACAAAATTAAACCATGGCTCATTCACAATATGTACAAAGTATGCAAAGAAGAAAAACAGCACAGAGTCACGCAGCCCCTAGGTATATAAGGGTTTTCAATTGGTTCTCATTTCAATATTAACCAAGGCAGTAATATTAAATTCTAATATGAGGGTCTTAGGTTAGATAGAAGGACAACCTTTCAGAGGGAGAAATTTATTAAAGGGGTTAGGTTTAGATGTAAGTAGAATGATGAGTTAGAAGCAGAGGATGCTGATAGTCTTCCAGCTCTACTACTAAATAATAAATCACGTTGGGCTAAATTATACAATAGCAACGATTCTACATGAATCAACATGTCCCTGGGTTGTACTTACACAGCAAGTTGTAAAGCATGCCTCACAGGACCACTTGGTATGATTTTACCCTGAACCCTGCTGTGGCACAGTCAACCATTTATTATGCTCATCTCACTTGTGCCAGATCGAGTGACTAGAAAGATTTAAAGCAAGCCAAAAGCCCACGCAAAGTGCTGCTTCTTACATCTGAGGATGTAAGAAGGCGAGCTTTCCCTGGGAATGGACTAAACTTCAAATAATTTTCCTGAAGATTTCTGTGATTTTGTTTGCTGGATTTTAGTGAACATTCTACTTACTGAAAAATTATTCCACAGCTGCTGAATTTTAGAATTTGAGCCCATGAATGACTCTGACTTTCACACAGGAAAATATAATTTAGGTACAGGAAAAACACATTTTTGTATGTCTAGTTTCATTCATCTCAAAAAGAGCCCATGTATGGGAGAAAAAAGGCCATTTCATGGCCCCAAATCTTATTCCTCCTACATTTACAGAATAAATATTAGCAAATCTCTCCCTGAAAGAGATGAGACTTATACAAGCAAAATTCACCTCCAACACGCTTCTGTGAAAGTTCTCCCTTCTTACTCCCCCATCTACCTTTATTAGAAATAAGAAGATGCCTGAAACACTCATCAAAGTGGATCCCCATCAGGCTAGCTGGGAACACTACTTGCTATGAGCTACCGTGGCAGGTTCCATCAGTGAGTGTGCCTCATGTTCAATGGTTGATGGGAACCAGGCAGAGAGGATGGGAGAAAACCTGTGGCAAGTTTTCTTTTACTTGAAATTTAACATTTTTTTAAAGGTAGTAAACAAGGTAGCACAAATAGCAACATCTCACTCCTGAAAAGCTAAAAACCAGAATTCCATATAAAGAGCAGAATTCCATTATTAAAAATGGTTTGAAGCCTATAGATAAGAGCCACTTACAACAGACTCTTGTTATCAGAAAGACTTGGATACTGTATATTTCACTGCAGAGAGGAAAAATATGTGCCCTGACAATACAACCCAGTATGTGGACCCACTGTGGCATTTCATAACGAGATTTTACTTTATCATTCAACTTCTCCTCATGGCTTCTCTCTCAGGAATAAAGGAGAAATCAGGAAATCATATTACAAGATTAATAAAACTAAGGTCCAGAAACAAACTGATCTGCCACAGACTGCACAGGGCTCGGGACTAGAATGAGCTTTCTGACCCCCAGCTGGTTGTTGTCACACAGCCTGGCGGCCAGCTCAGTTTGTTTGTTTACATTTTTAAAAATTTAATGTTTATTCATTTTTGAGAGAGAAACACAGAGTGCAAGCATGGGAGAGACAGAGAGAAGGGGAGACACAGAATCTGAAGCAGGCTCCAGGCTCCGAACTGTCAGCACGGAGCCCAACACAGGGCTTGAACAGGAGCTGTGAGATCATAACTTGAGCCGAGGCTGGAAGCTTAGCCGACTGAGCCACCCAGGCCCCCCACAAGCCCGGCTTAAAACACAGCTCTGCTATAATTGTGTGGTCTTCAGCAGATTGTTTTTAAAATCTCTTGGAGCCTCATTTTCTCATTTAAAAAATATATATATTTTTTATGTCTGTTTATTTATTTTTTTAATGTTTATTTTTGAGAGACAGAGCACAAGCACGGGAAGGGCAGAGAGAGAGATAGGGGGACACACATTCCGAAGCAGACTCCAGGCTCTGAGCTGTAACCACATAGCCTGATGTGGGGCTTGAACCTGTGAAGTGTGAGATCATGACCTGAGCCAAAGTCAGATGCTTAGCCAACTGAGCCAACCCAGGCGCACCACTCCCCACCACCGAAAAACTTAAAGTATGTTTCTACTTGGGGCACCTGGGTGGCTCAGTTGATCTGAAAGTTCAACTCATGACTCTGGCTCAGGTCATGATCTCCTGGTTCTTGAATTCAAGTCCCTCTTCAGACTCTGACCTGACCATTCAGAGCCTGCTTGGGATTCTCTCTCTTTCCCTCCCCTGCTTGCAAGCACTTTCTCTCTCTCTCAAAATAAACAAACTCTAAATGTATATGTGTGTGTGTGTGTGTGTGTATGTGTGTGTGTGTGTGTGTGTATGTATGTGTGTGTGTGTGTGTTTCTACTTATTCAGACTATTTCCTAGCAGAAATATTCTTGTATAGTATTCTATTTCCTTGCAGCAGAAAGTACTTGATGCAAAGAGAGATCTACAGTGTAAAGGATATGAGTTCCAATGCATGTCTAGTGGCTTTCCAGAGTGACCGGAAAGAGCTTTTTTCCCATCATCACCCACTTCTCTGCCTCTGCACACTCTGGCACACATACTCTCATCCTATGCGAGCAGTTTCTGACGGCCTCAGAGAAAGAGATATCAGTGTATCACAAATACTTCATCAGCATCTATTTCAAATCAATGCTATGGATAATAAAATAACAACAAAAGGACTAGACTGCCTGATTTCAGCTCCGTTTTCACACACATTTTGAACTTTTAAAACGACCAGCAGTCACCTATCACTAAAAATGTCAAATTTTTCCTTCTTGGTAATTCATTTTTTCTAAGAGATGCTATAATTTTCTTGGTATTCTGCAATCCCCACAATGCAGGAAAGAGAGTAAAGACAAGAACTCTTCTTCCATCACACACACACCACCAGAAATGCATACACAATTGTACACACAAACCAGGCAGACATCCACACTCACAAACCAAAGCCACTTGTTCTGCCTGAAGGGTGAAGGAGGGGCTGCCCTGTGTTCCCAAGGCTCTGCCTGTATCCCATGGAATCTCCACAATGTCTCAAGAAAGGAGTAAGCATATGATGTTTGTTAAAGGCTGGTTTTTTTTCCACTATTGACAATCAACAGTCCACGTGCTGGTGACCACCCAGCAGGCAGAGGCCTACCTCGGCCTGAGCCTAGCTCTGGGCAGTGGGATGAAACGTCTTTCTTCTACCAGAGATGCGGTAATGTGAATGCTTCCTACATACAGACACGGAGATTTGGGTTTCATTACGACTTACTGGGGAGTTAATACCGTCCATAAAATTAGAACAGATTTAGTGGGGCTTCCAATTCTGCAAAGGTTACCTTTAATTGCTTTCTTGGAAGAAATGATATTTAATATGCAAAATCCAATAGCTTTCTAATAATAATTCCCAGTAGCCACAACATTTGCATTTCAATAAATTTGAGAAATCAGGTATGGTTAAGTTTGTGGAAACCAACTGCAGCATATGTTAAACAGCATAATTACAATTTTAATAGCATGAACACTGACAGATGCTTTTTCACTATCTTTATTTCAGTGACAAGGAGACAGATTTACACATTCTCTCTATAAACCTCAAAATGTTTTATGCCCCAACTAGAAAAACAGCCCAAATACTATCAGCTCTTCTTCTCAATACAAAAAATACTCTTTCCTTAAATTTCTGATAATTATATACTATCTAAGAAAGAACCTTGATAACCTGAAGGTTAAATTTTTAGATATCAATGAATATTTTCTGTTTTTTAATTAAAAATAATTTTTTTGAGAGAAAGAGATAGAGGGAACATGCATGCCGAGGAGGGGAAAAAAGAGGGAGACACAGAATCCAAAGCAGGCTCCAGGCCCTGAGTTGTCAGCACAGAGCCCAACACAAGGCTCAAACCCATGAGCTGTGAGACCATGACCTGAGGTGAAGTCAGAAGCTTAACCAATTGAGCCACCCATGTGCCCCTTAATGAATATTTTCACACAAATACCAAGAATATCTCTAATACAATAACAGTTAAGTTTTAGTAATCAAATGAGCAAATAACGCAAGTGAATAATATATAAAGAGTAATGTACTGAGCATTTACTATTAATACTCTTTTATTATCTCTGGTTTCAAATTAGGGCCCCCCAAAAAAAGTGGGTTAAAAAAGAGGAATTAAAATCTGGCATACACTGTCTTGCCAACAATGGACTCGGCTTTAAGTCTCGTAGGTAAGAATTTCATTTAGTGATGTCTCCAGTGGAATGGATAGAATTCGAGAGTGGCATTTGGGCACCCTGCTTCAGTTTTACAGGGCCTGGTACCTGCTTCACTGTAGCTCTCTGAAGGCAGAAGTGGTTAAACCTGATTCTCTGGGCACCCAATCCAATTATTTTGCCTTGCACATCACAGGCTCTCCACTTAAAAGAACGAATTGAACCAAAACGAGTTCTTTTTCACAACACAGAAGGTCCCCAATTTTAATGCTAGTATTAGAAAAAGATCCAATCAGGCTTTTCCTGCAACATGCTCAGGGTTTGTCTAATGGTCAAAAACAAGGGCTTTGCAGTTAGATTGCCAGGGAAGGGACCACTTTCCTGATCCCTGGCTGGGTTAACTTCAAGAGTGACATGATGTCTCTGAACCTTAGTTTCCTCAGTATTAAGGGGGATAATATTAAGAAGACAGCAACGATTCGATGAAGCAATAAATGAAAAACATTTAGCACAATACATGGCACTTAGTAACTGCTCAGTAAAGTTTACATATAATTGTAGCATTACTACATGTAGGCTTTATGGTATAGGAAACACAATATAAAGTACACATTGTGTTACAACAGTGGATCCACTGTTTCTAAGAACATCACTCAGCTACAATTCAGGATATCTACTTTGTTTCATAATCACAACATCATTAGAAAAAAAGTGATAATTGTATCAAAATGAATTTCTGAAGATCATAAGCTCTACTGCATTCTAAAAGCCCTGAACTTAACATAGCTAATACAGACATTAAATAGGCTGTTTTTGTCAAGAAAGTTTTAAAAAAAAAACCGTTATGTTTTTGAAATTCATTGGCAGAAAAATTTAAAAAAATTAAGTCATAAACTTTAATGTATGTGTATGCAGCCAACTGAATTAAATATTTATTTATTCACATATACACACCCTTCCCCAAGGAAAAAAATGTCATTTACCTATACCGGTGCTTATAACTCATGGATCCAAACTTGCTGAGTTTTCTTGACAATGAATTTGATTCATTTTCTGGCATTCTAATAAATTTTTAAAAGAAAATTAGATAAGGATTCATAAATTCAGGTATTTATACAACCCTTGAGAAAAAGCTAAGTAGAGAATACGGTGCAACACTGTTTCACAGATAGTCAAAACATTTTATTTATTCTACATATTGGCAGGAAATAATTATCAGTTATTTTAAGCTAATATTTGAAATACAACCATACTCTAGGATTTCATGTATGGATAATATCAGAGTGTTCATAGTTTCAGCAAACTATTATATACATCATTGCCTTTTGGAAGTTTCAGTTGTGAATCAACTGACTTTCTCTACTTAAAGAACTGTGTCACTATGTTGACTCATGCCATGGCTTTCACAACAGATCTGATGTGGTGTTTTACTCTTCTTTATATTGGACTTCCAATTCCAGGGTACCTTCAACAGACACCTTCTATGTGGAACTCCTTGGCCCAGGCCCCACTTAAGGCAGTGAACTGGACTCAAGGCAATGTCTCAGGCTTGCTGGGCCACATCCTTCAACTAGTATCAACTCTATAAAGGACATCAGTCATTTTGTAAGAATACTTCTCCAACATCATGCTATTAGGGAGAAGGGCTCCATGTAAACTGCATAGGCATAAGAGGAAGAATTAAGCTTTAAATTTAAAGCAAAAAATAAAGCTTAATATATTACCTGATAGGATTTGGCTTTATCTTTACACCAGAAGGATGTGAAACACAAAGTGTCACCACAATCCAATGTCAACTCTCTACCCTCCTCTTACTTGACGTCCTGGGAACGTGCAATGCAGTTGCTGGCTTCTTATTTACCATGACATTTTCCTTTGTATTTTCCATTTTCCCACACATTGAACTGGCTAGTCCGTCTTATACTCCTTCATTGGCTCTTACTGCCCTCTAAATGCTAGGAGAGTTCCACTGCTCAGTCCTAGGCTTTCTGTTCTCTTTCTTCACTTTTTCCACTGATGACCTCATCCAGTCCCCTTTGCCTTAAATACCTAGCAAATTTACATGGCCAGGTTTGGTCTTTCCAATAAGCCCTGGACACCCAACTGCCTGCTGCACACCTCTGCTTAGATGGCTATTTAGTATATCCATAAAACACTTAATTTCCATCAATTCCAAAGCTGCACTTCATATGTATCTGTAAGTGTCCTTGACCCTTTTTTATAGCAGGAACAAAGAAGGTATCTGTGTGTGTGTGTGTGTGTGTGTCTTAATATGATTCAGAAAATTAGGTGGCTGAAAAAAATTAACAGAAGAGAAACACTTCTAAACTTCTACTTATAGACAGAAAGGAATACTTGTTATAAAAACAAATGCACTTTTCATTTATTAGAACAATGCACAAAACCTTCACATTAACATACCTGAAAAAAGTATGATGTTCTACACTACACTTCCAAAGATGCTTGCAAGCAGTTTTACTTCGAGCTTCAAAAAAGAATGAGGTTTCGTTGCACTGAGAGGAGAGAGAGAGAGAGAGAGAGAGAGAGAGAGAGAGAGAATATGAATTTACCGGTAGTAATAGTCTTCAGATGACAGCCACCTTCTAGGTACCAAAAGTTCCAGTAAGCAGAGAAATTATTAACCCATAAAACAAAAAATAATTATCTTGGCAACTATTTTTGGAGGGCTGCCTTCAAACCACCTTCAATAATTAAAATTATGAAATCTAAGTTCCATGTAAATCACCTTCATCACCTACTTCTTCGTCACCCCATGACCATGGATAAGCAGGGCCAGGAAGTACTGCAAGCTTTTCCATCATAAATGGCCATGTGGAAATCAACTCCCAATAAAAAGGAGATGCCATAAACCCAGTTATTAACTCTGTTACTTTCAGGGATGTACGTGCCACATTTAAAATGATGGCAAAAGCGGCTCAGGAGGGCCAATGTGAGGAGCGGCCACCACAGTGGTGTCCTCTGAGCCAGCTGAATAATGTCTCTGGGCTTCCACATTCCGCATCCAGTTTCTGGGTGAATTAAACTAAATGATATGACCAATGTAAAGTACATGATAGATATACATTAAATTTCAATTATTCAGTAGCTACCTATAATTAACATATGAGAAATAAAGGCAATATTAGAGATCATTCTACTTGTGCAGAAGATACCATTTACATTTTTAAGTGACTGAATAGGCAACCATGCAAAATATAACCTAAGTACTAAAATAATAAACCACAAATTCTGTGAAGCTCTATAATTATTTTCTTTTTTAAATCTAAAACTAAATTAGCAAACTCAAGCCTCAAATGCAGAAATGCCCCTGGAATGAGATTTCTATGGATTTATAAGCACAAAATTGTCAGTGCAGATGAGTAATGGAAAAGGATCCTTCCCACCTTTTAATAAGGACAGAATATTTATATGCATGAAATTTCTTCCAAGTCCATCTAGAATGAAGCTGCCTGGCTTATAAGTCTATTTGTAAGATGAAAAGAGTGTGATGAAAACAGAGCCAATATATGCATGTTACAGCAAGGCTGCCTATAATTCCAAAACCTCGTGAGGTGGAGGAAGAGACTTAATTCCCAGGTTTCTGGCTTGGGGAATGCTAACTAATGAAATACAGCAGGTAGGAAAAATTAGGCATTTGGATGGCAAGGGAAGGGATAGTAAGTTGAGGCTATTTTGATTTTGATGTGCCCATGGAATGGGCAACTAAACACCCCTAGTGGGACAGGAGACATGCAGACACAGAGCTGAGGAGACAGGCCATATCTGCTGACACAAATGATTTCACTCAAGAGCATAAAAGAGATTGTTCTGGGAAAAAGTACAAAGTGGGTGAAGATAAAATCACAACCAGGATGCTTGTGAAAAAGGGTGGGGGGGTCAAAACGGAATAGGAGGCTACAGTGGCAGAGAGGCTGGAAGGAGAGCACAAGACTCAAGTGACCCGGAAAGTTCAAACAGGGTTTGAAAGGAGGTGACTGCATTTCGAGGTAAGACATTTTCAGTGACTTTCATGAAAGGGGTAGGGATTATTCAAGTAGAGATAAGGGAGCAAAGTCAATGAATTCAGAAAGAGCATTCCTCAAAAGCAAAAGAAATGGGGGAAGGGGGTGCACAGGAAGTCACAGAAGATCCTTGGGGGCAGGGTGGGAAACCAAGCATCCTGTCAGGAGATGGGAATGCTTAGAGGGGAGGGGTTTTTCCTTTTCCTTTTCTTTTTTTCATATATAATATACACACATGGTAAAAATGCCAGAAGTTACCAAAACGGATACACACTGATAACTAAAATCTCACTCCCATCACTGTTCCCAATTGCCTTTCCCAAAGGCAACCACTATCAAGAGTTTCTTAAAATGTGGCGCCTGGGTGGCTCAGCCAGTTAAGCATCCAAATCTTGATTTCAGCTCAGGTCATGATCTCACAGTGATTGAGACTGAGCCCCGTGTTGGGCTCTGTGCTGACAGCACAGAGCCTGCTTGGCACTCTCTCTCCCTCTGTCTCTGCTCCTTCCCTGCTCATGCTCTGTCTCTCTCTCAAAATTAATAAATAAATGTAAAAAAAAAAAAAAAAAAGAGCTTCTTATGTAACAGGTTTGTGTTTTTAGGGTCAATATATTATCCAAAAATATAATGCACAGGTCATTTATTTTAAAATAATTTTGCTTCAACCATGAGAGACTCTTGAATGCTGAGAAACAAACTGAGGACTGATGGATGTGGGGGGGAGGGGGGAGATGGGCATGGAGGAGGGCACTTGTGGGGATGAGCACCGGGTGTTATATGGAAACCAATTTGACAATAAACTATTTGTAAAAAAAATTAAAATTAAAATAAAAAAAAAATAATTCTGCTTCTGATTGCATTGTATCGGGATAAATGATTAAGATAAAGTGAGCACATGACATGTTCTCCCCCCACTACCACTTCCCTCAGTATCTATACTCCCCCTTCCTGTGCCTTCCAACAACTACGTGCACCAGGACATACCAAACCTTATCACTGACAACAAATGGTAGGTGGTGAAGACCACTCTGTGACATTAACACTTCAACATTTCAGCAAGAGCATCCAAAAATAAGGTGGGATTTGCATACCCAAAAACAAATTTTCAACAAGTTACTTAATTATATATGATCCAGATTTACAGAAATGGAGGAGAAACAAAAAAGCATTCTATGTTAAAAATATAGTAAATCCTGGGGCACCTGGGTGCCTCAGTTGGTTAAGTGTCCAACTTCAGCTCAGGTCATGATCTCCTGGTTCATGGGTTCGAGCCCCACCATCAGGCTCTGTGCTGACAGCTCAGAGCCTGGAGCCTGTTTTGGATCCTCTCTCTCTCTCTCTCTCTCTCTCTCTCTCTCTCTCTCTCTGCCCTTCCCACACTTGTGCGTGCACACTTTCTCTCTGTCTCTCTTTCTCAAAAATAAATAAAACATTTGAAAAAAAATAAAGTAAATCCCCTCAAACTTACCTTAGACTGGTTTTCATTTTATTCTTCATGTTAATGTCTATATTCTTTTTCTTTCCGAATAAAGATCCAGTTGTGGGCTACCTAATAATTTTTTTAACCACCATCACTTAATGGAAGAAGAAAACATCTTAAGATCTGACCAGAATGGGGTTTTCTCAAGTTTCCTTAGGTACAAACATATTAAAGGAACAACAGAGGCTCCCACAGGCCTCCTAAGTACTTCTGCCCTGTGCAAATGACAAGTATGAACTCATTCTCCGTTTATACGTGGCTGTAACACCAGCTGCCTGGTTTTTATCCCACTGTCAGCAGAATAATCCAAATACTAAAAGGAGGGTTAACAAACTAAAAAAGAAACCAGGAATTCTGAATAAATTCTGTGCATTTCTGCCACTTAACCGCTGGTGTGAACTGCACTGATGAGGCATCACAGTGTCTCTCCTACTAAGCCTTTTCAAAAGACAGACACAATTAGCACCTTTCTATTCATTCAAAGGTGATTAGATGTTCAACTTCAAGAGTCCATTCCAACCCTCTGCTAAAATACTTTATCCAAGCATCAACTGCTTGCTTTTGGCAAAAGCACTCAAACACCTTCATAACTTTTGTCACTTCATGCCAGAAGCAAAGCTATGTGCCGAATCTTTTTTTTTAAATACAGGCTTTTATAATATTTTTACCTTATAAACTGAGCAAATTTAAATTGCCCGTATCTCAAGTTACCATGTGGTACTCAACAACTGCACCTTGGAGCCCTAGGTAAACTTGGCTCAAACTCCCAGTTCTAACATTTTTAAGAATTCAGGACCTGTATCATACTGATGAATTCCCAGCCTGACTCCTTTAGATCTCTCCATTTCTTTTCCCACCCTTGCTGGGTGTTTCTTTCTCTTTGCAAGCTTCAAGAAATAAATCTACTTCACCCTGCCTTCTCTAAAGTGTATTGAGATAGCAGGCAGGGTCCTGCAAGGGCTCGCATCAACTGTGCACTACACAACTTCACCCCAGGCCCTGCCAACACTTATTGCCTCTCCCAAGCCTGACCCTCGTTGCCACACCCAGCCCGTGCTCTAAGGATTCCTCCATTGCTGTCTTGGGAAGCAGCCACAAGTAGACTGACTTCTCCAGCCTCCTTAGAATTGTGGGAGAGAACATCTTCTCAATCCTACTATACATCTGTCCCACCTCCAAGGTCACAGAAGTAACCCAAAGTACACTGCATAGGTAAATATTTTTAAACGGTTTGTACTTTCACAATAGTGAGACACAATCATTACATAAATACTGGAGAGGCTTAGAGCAGGGAAGTTTCCAATCAGCAGTGATTCACAGAGGCAGAGGAGATAGAAGGAAGTGTTAAGATTACAAGTCTCAAGTATTGTATGTGTTTTTTAAAGTGCAATCTCACCAAGAGCTGTAACTGACTTTAGGCACTAGGGAGAAAAACAAAACAAAGGGCAGACAGCCAATGACTGAAATAACCTGATTACTGATAAAGCAAAGGCAGGCAAGGGGTGGAAATGAAAACAGATTCCAAAGAGATGTCCCAAAATTTTAAGTGTTTTGAAAAATGTTATCATTATAAGTGGTGAGACTAAATGAGTACGGTTTTAAAAACCGAACGATGTCTGTCCATGTGAGCGAGTGGGCACAATGTCTGTTTCAGTGCCTGTCCCTGTGTTTGCCACTACTCTCTCTCCTAGGCATCCCGAGTTCAGTCAGGAAGTCACAGTGAACCCTGCAACAAAACAAACTAACAATCTTCTTATTCGGAAAGGGAAATCAGGCACAGGTACTTTCTGTTTCCTGTTTTATATGAATGAGCAAAGTACTTTCTTTCAAGGCTCTTTTCAGTGCTCTGGATTAGAAAATACTATATGGCACACACACACACACACCCACAACACACACACCCCCAGCTACTTTTTAAAAAATTCCTTTTGAAATGCATGTAATATGGTTTGAATTAAAAATCAGGAGGGGATGGGGCGCCTGGGTGGCTCAGTCGGTTAAGCATCCGACT